TGGGATAAAGTATTTGCAGGCTTTGCTTCAGATAATCAGAATATATACAGAAGTTAAGCAGCTCACCCACAAGAAAAAAATTAATAATAATAACTCAACTAAAAAATGGGCAAAAGCAGACCAGGAGAGGGCATGGCAGTTAAGGTGCTGGATCTCATATGGCCAACTGCACAGTTAAAGTCCCAGACCCAGTCAGTCATGTGTGCTCAAAATCCCAAAAGGAGAAGAGAGAGAAGGGACTGCAGGGTAGCCATCCCCCCTGGGGGGTTATTTCTCACTTTCTCTGTCTCTCTGGCAAGCACAAGCAGCCTAATGCAAAAAAAAAAAAAAAAAAAAAAAAAGAATAGTTTGTATTTTCCTCGAAAGAAAGAAAGAAAATGAGTTGAACAGACAACTCCCTAAAGACATACAAATGGCCAAAATGCATATGAAAAAATGTTCAACATCTCTTACCACAGAAAAGTACCAAAACAAACAAACAAATAAGCAAAAAACACACTAAGAAACCACTTAGCCCCAGTAAGAATGGCCTTGAACAAGAAAATGAAGAATGACAAGTGCTGGTGAGGTTGTAGTGAAAAGGGAGCTCTTCGACACTGCTGGTGGGTATGTAAATTGGTACAGTGACTAAGGAGATTCCTTGAAAACAAACAGAACTACCACATCACCCAATAAATCCTTTGTATTTACCCAAAGGAAAAGAAAATACTCAGTCGGAAGGACACACTTACACATCCATATTTATTGCAGTATTATTCACAATTGCTAAGACAAAGAACCCAATCTAAGTCCCCAAAAACTGATGACTGAAGAAACTGGAACATGTACACTATGGAATATTAGTCAGTTATAAGAAACAATGACATCCTGTCATTTAATAAAGTGCACGAGTTTAAAAGATTTAATACTAAGTGAAGTAAAGCCAGACTATGAAAAACACTGTGTATCTCCACTCAAAGCTGTGATAATCAAAAGAGCATGGTACTGGCACAAAAACAGAAACACAGATATATACTGAATGTCTGGCATTCTATGGCAGAGATTAAAGATCTTAAGGTATGTAGTACAGACAACAAGTATAGATACCAGACACTGTATGGGAGAATGGTGATTAGTAGACGGTGGGTGGACAGGGTTCAGGGAAGGAATACTTAACAGACATAAGAACGCAAAGTTATGCATTGTCAATGTAATCAATATGTGGTAATATCCTTGATTTTATTGTCACATTGTGCATATACACTTTGAAAAGCCAAATTGAGTGCTATAGAGATGTACAGTAATAAATAATTTTTTTTAAAAATGACAGTAAAATGTAAAGGAAAACAAAAATTAAAAATACAGACCAAAAAAAAGAAAGGAAGAAAGAAAATGAAGCCAGTGCAATGACTCGGTGGTTAATTTAAGGGAGTTGTACCCCATATGACCAAGAGTGGATTAAATCTCAGCCCTAGCGGGCCATCACTGGAAGAAGGAGTTGATGAAGGATGCCCAAGAAGTTCCAGGGCAAGAACACCAAGTCTGCAGCACCAGGGCGCACAGGGCTGAGGCCAAGGCTGCAGCCAATGCCAGGAAGCGGGAGAAGCTGGAGAAATGCCCACTGGCAGGAGGAAGACGAACATGTCATGAGGAAGGAACAGCACAAGAAGGAGAAGGGGAGGCACTTGGAACAGCTGGAGCAGAAGGAGATGCAGCGCCAGCTGGAGGAGGAGGACTTAAAGCTAAAGGGCAGCAAGGCCCCCAGGATGGCCAAGCTCAACAAAGTCACCCACGCCCAGATGGAGAACACACTACAGTGCGACCATCAGCACATGGAGGCCATGGACCCAGCAGAGAAAGCCAAGAGCCATCTGGAGAACGTGGAGGAGAACGTGAACCTCCGAGTTCTGGAGGAGGGCAGCATGGAGGCATGCACCATCAATAACGACATAGCAGAGGTGCTCAGCGTGGCAGAGGAGGGAGCCAACCAGCACCCCGAGGGTCACATGCGGGCAGCCTTCACGGCCTTCAAGGAAGTCCAGCTGCTAAGGTTCAAGCAGGAGAATCCCAGCATGCGGCTGTCACAGCTGAAGCAGCTGCTCAAGGAGGAATGGCTTTGCTCTCCTGACAACCCTATGAACCAGCAGCCGTGCCTCTCAATGCCCCCAAGTGAGCCTAAAAATGGGGAAGCTGCCCTGTGGCCAGTCCAGGTCCCAATGGTTCTCATGCTGCCGCCAAGGCAGCTCTGAGGATTACAGAGAGGTCCCAGGGACCTAGCTAGCACCTGTCCCAAGGGCTGTGTGCCAACACCAGCCACCCCTCTTCCAGCCAGAGTCCCTGCTCTGAGTGACACTCCCATCCCCCTAGCAGGTGTGCATAAAGCCCCTAGCTGAGGTGCCCAACAAAGGTGGTAGATGGGCAAAAATAAAATAAATCTCAGCCCTGGCAGCTTGAAAACTATGCCAGGTGCATGGATGTGTGCATGTGCACTTAAAATTCCAACAAGAGATGTATGTATGTCCACCTAAAATCTCAACAGGTTGGAGAAACAGAGAAGGGATTGCAGTTTGACCAGACTCCACTGGATAGAGCTTTCTCCCTCTTTCCTGATAACACACACTCTCTGGCAATTAAAAACACAAAGTCCGGGACCAGCAGGCGGCATAATAGGTTGCTGGACTCCACTTACTTAACTACGTTTAGTGTCCCAGACCTGGCGGCTTAAAACACAACACAGGGTACGTGTGCACGCCTGCATGTGTGCCCAAAATCCCAAGAGGAGAAGGGATTGTGGAGTAGCCAACCCTCACCGGGGGGGGGCGGGGAGGGGGAATTTTCTTGTTTCCTGTCTCTCTGTCTTTGTGGAGAGCACATGCGCCCTTTAGCAAAAACCTCTCCCCGCCCCCCAAAAAAAATGGAGATTTCCATTGTAGAGGGAAAGTTCTCTTTTTTAATATGATTTTTATTATTTATACATTAGTCATTATACATCATTTAGATTGTAAAGAGACTTTACCCAGCATGATATACACCTCAATGCAGCCTAGTTGAGAATACTATACATGTCCTCATTAACAAATAATAAATCATATCTGTGTCCCACAAATGTCTTACCTCTCTATTTTTCCCCCCAAATTTCCTT